TGTTGTCAGGAGACTAAACAATTCACTTACCAATTATGACAAACAAATTCAACGTGATAAAGGCTTGGTTTATTCAGAGGGAAAACATCTCATTCGGTACTGATATTGAAATTGCACTAGAATGCGGTATTTTCTCTCTAAAAAATACCACGCCTAAATTACGTTGAATTTGTTGGTCAAAATTGGTAAGTAAATTGTTTAGTCTCCTGACAACAGAATATTGCGATCTCAAAATTAGGGGAAAAAGACGAGTAGCTAAAAAATGGAACCAGTCGATGCTATACATCGGAAGATGTTTTGACACAAAATATGGCGTCTATCGAATCACCTTAATCTCGTTATTTGATGAGATTACTGGCTTTTCTTAAAATCACTAATTTAATGTTTTGAAAACATCATGTAGATAATCTTTGATTGTGTTATTTACTGGCTTTTCTTAAAATCACTAATTTAATGTTTTGAAAACATCATGTAGATAATCTTTGATTGTGTTATTTCCACCATGTGGCAAAAACATCCTAAACTTGCCTTCACCCCGCATGGCTTCTGATTATTACAACCCCACCCTCCCACCCTAACCTACAACCCCTCCCACCGCGAGGCTACGCTGCCATGCTAAGGAAAAACGCTGTAAGAACATTCGAGAGTTGCCAAATTTTCCTCAATAAAAAATGTATTTTCGTGGAGATTCATGCATATTTTTCCTTGAAATTTTCAGATATTGCATATTAAATCGTGAACAAAACTGACCGAACGATTCGAGGAAAAATATGCAACATTTTCCCAGTAAATTCAGTTTTTAATCGGAGGAAACTGGACAACGTCTGAAGGCTCATAGGGCGTTATTCCTTAGCACGGCAGTACGTGTCTCGAAACCGCGGGGCAGTAAAAAATGAATTTATCGCCGTAATAATTTAGGGTTTCCTTGCCTCGCGCAGTGCTGGCCGGCCCGCAGGCATTGATGGCTTCCTCACGGGTATTTGTCAATTCACGAAAAACCTAATTTATACTTAACATTCATGTTGAATGTATGAACTGGCGAGATAATTTATTTTCTCGTTTACATTAATGCGCCTGGACAGTCGTCTTGTAAGAATCCTACCTGTAAATTAGATTTACGGAGCGCCTTCCTCGTCAGCGATAGTGGCGAGGCGCGATTGATCAATTTTCGATATTTTCTCCATTTGAAGCTGTGGTACAGAATCGATTATTGAGGCGTTCATTGCAAACGCCCCATTTATCGATCCTTTTCCATAGGATTAAATGGTGGGTCAATCGATATATCGCAAAGCACGCCACGCCACAGTCAGCAGCTTCCAGGCCTCGGTCGTCCGAGCTTTGGTTTCAGGCTCCAGACTGACCGATTGAGAAATCATTAACGGTTACCGATCCGAAGCTTCTTCTTTCAAATTTTACAGAGTGCTTCAAAGAAATGGTGACAACCGTTAAGGACTTGAAATTCCTCTCCTATACTAACTCGATCCACCGGGGGCCGTGGACAAAATGACGGGAGTGTGTCGATTATTTAATGATAAGATTTTCCCATCCCGACACCTTACGGCAACTTCTTTTCAGGACCAGAAAGATAGGCCATCCCTCGGCCCACCATTTCTCTGATCTCGGCCGGACTCATCTCTTCCCCAGAGGCGGATCTATTAATTTGGCAACACCGGATTTCCTCCATTTAAACGTATGTTGAATAATCGATTTTGCTTGGAGCACTTGGCCCCTCCAAGAATCGATCCATTTTCATAGCTTAAAAGAAAGGGAAGACCAAATTGCTGGATTCGCCAATGCTCTTCGCAACAATCCTGAAGGGTTCAATCAATTGAACGTATTTATGCTAAAAGGAACTATATTTCACGCCAATCCTATACACCTAGTTCCTTTTAGCATGAATACGTCCAACTGATCTACAACGGCCTGACCATGCGGATTACCTCCCTGAGGCGAGACCACTGTGCCGTTATTCCAAGGGGCTAACTAGCTATACCCTAACTATTCCAATAGAAACAAAATAGCTGTAGGTATTTTTTTAAGGTCTCTCATCGTCGCCATTCAAATGAGACACCCTGTATCTCGCACCTAGCGCGTATTTTTTTTTTCATCATCCGGTCGTAAATAACCCGAAAACTTCAGGAGCAGTGGATCTTTGCTTCGTTTAAAAGTTAATTCAACAACAGAGGCCCGAGGCGTGCTTCTCAGGAATTAACTCGTGGTGATGTCTTAAACTTGTGGATCAGTTTTTTTGCCGTGGATACCCCGAAACCAAAAATTGGTCAGCATCTGCCTTTTCCCGATTCCTTCTTGAGACTTGAGAGAAGAAGGTTGTGCCCCTTTGGCTCCGTCTTGAAGATATTATTTGAAGTATTTCGCATACTTTGCGCGCATGTGTGTGGATATTCCGAAACCAAAAAATGGTCAGCATCTGCCTTTTCCCGATTCCTTCTTGATACTCGAGAGAAGAAGGTTGTGCCCCTTTGGCTCCGTCTTGAAGCTATTATTTGATGTATTTCGCATACTTTGCGCGCATGTGCGAGTTCTGTCTTGCGCTTATTGCTGGGTAACCCGACTTTACGTAATGATTTGAACGTCAACGTTCAAATAATTTATTCCTTATGTAGACGAATCTCGACGAGCAATTTTGAATGAGTAAATTTCTCTCGAAACTCTGGTTTTTTTTCTTGGCAATTTCTCATTACAATATATTTTCTTAAATTCATTATTGGTACACTGTGTATTAATGTGTCACTGGCGTCAGTTAGGTAAAATATCCCTCCTCCATATATTACAGATTTTATGCGAAAATTTTCAGTTGTGGCATGAGTTGACATTCATTTTAGACGCAAATTTTATCCGTACTCCAGTACGGTTTGAGTTGCACCTTCTTAACACGAAGTATCTCTCATCGCATCCTTGAGTTTCACACTCTTTATACCATAATTTGTTCTCATGTTATTTGAGTTTTACACTCTTTACACACTCGTGTAAGTTGAGTTTTACGCTCTTTACACAAATAATCTGTAAGCGCATAAGTTGAGTTTTACACTCTTTATGCAAAATTCTCTACTCAAGTAAGTTGAGTCCTACGCTCTTTACACAATTTATTGGCCGAAGGTGCCCTCAAGCAATTTATCCCTCGCTGAAGGAGTAGTACTTAGGGAGAACTTTAAGGTAAATGTATGTTTCAACCCCGAAAATAGGAGTTTGTCCGAAAATCGAATTACCTTTAAGACCACAATTGCCGCTGAGCCACAAATCGATACTCGTGTAAGTTGAGTTTTACGCTCTTTACACAGATAATCTGTACTTGTGTAAGTTGAGTTTTACGCTCTTTAATTACACAAATAATCTGTAGGCGGATAAGTTGAGTTTTACACTCTTCATGCCAAAATCTCTACTCGTGAAAGTTGAGTCCTACGCTCTTTACACAATTCATTTGTAGGCGCATAAGTTGAGTTTAACACTCTTTATGCAGTTTATCTGTAGTTGCATAAGTTGATTTCGCTCTTAATGCAAATATTTTAAAATCTCCAAGTTGAGTTTCGCACTCTTTACACGCAGAATCCATGATCGCGTGAGCTGAAATTTGTCTCTTTATGCTAATCACTTACTTACCTGTGATGACATAATTAGAGTTTGAAAGCGAGCAACAAGACAGAGGTAGTTGGAAGCAATCGCAGGATCGTATCGATCTTCCGCTCAGGAGTTTAAGTTGATTGATTATTGTAATTAATTATTTATCATTGTATACATGTATTTTGGAAACTAAATAGATTATTACTATTAATATAATGGGTGTAATTATTTCTTCTATTATCATAATTTTAATAGTTTATCAAAAATATTGATTTTGTAATTCAATGAAATCCAGCCAGGTTTAAAATATCAGTAAAAATATAATTATGTAATAATAATGTATAATAATGCAGGTAAAAGAATACATGATGCTGCGTGTTATTGAAAATGCAGGAGGAGGAGACTGTTTATTCCACTCTCTACGTCAATGGTTGTACGGTGCTGAAACCCGTCATCTGGAGGTTAGAAGGCAAGTAGTCGAATTCAACGTTAAGAGTTGGGAGAGCGACGATAGAAAACGTGCCACCGCAGGATATATCCTTAGGAACGAAAACATGGACAGGGCTGCATACGAATCAAAAATGGGATCGAAAGGAGAATACAGACCCGAATTGGAAATACTGGCATTTGTGGAAATTTTCAGAAGAAAAGTGGTACTTTACAGAAGGCGTACTACCCCAACGGGGGAAATGGTGTGTGAAGTGTGGCCTGTTTTCCCTGAAAATTTAACTGACGAGGAAAGGAAGAAGATGGAAGAAGAACAAACTGTCAGACTTCTAAACACAAGGAATAACCTGAACTTAATCCACGATATGAGTGGGCACTGTCGATTACTGCTGCCGAAGGTGCCCTCAAGCAATTAATCCCTCGCTGAAGGAGTGGTACTTAGGGAGAACTTTAAGGTAAATGTATGTTTCAACCCCGAGAATAGGAGTTCGTCCGAAAATCGAATTACCTTTAAGACCACGATTGCCGCTGAGCCGCAAATCGACACCGCGAGGCTAAACTTCGAAAGAAGTTAGGCGGCAAGACGACGGTTGCGGCCCGGTCCGAAGTATCAGTTACACCTGAAAAACTGAATGGAAACGAAGAAAGTGGGGCTCACCCAAAATATTCCCTCGCAAAAAGTTTCGTTGCGAGTGAAAAAATTTCGTCAAATCGAGAATTGAATCGAGTTAGGTTCCAATCAAACCTTATTAAACGACATCGAACATCTGCATGGGACGCAGTTTCAAAATTCTAGTGAAAATTCTAGTCCACTTTTTTTAATATCTTAATTAAGTCTTCCTCTTCTTCCTCGTCGTCTCTTTCTGCAGGTAAGCGTGCAATAAGGCTGTGTAAATGTTGACTTAAACTGTTGTGAAGGTCACGTCAAAAATATCGAAATTAATTTCTAATGCATAATGTTTTCATTTTTTCAGGACCGTTGCGGATGACGAGCGTCGCCACGATGTAAGTAGCGAATTTTCACGCTATGTGCGATGTTAAATTTTTATATTCTTAATGTCCATGCAATTATGTTGCGGAATGGATAAAATTTGTATGTTCCAATTTACATTTCCAACCCTTGATGGGGGTGAAAACGGCTCCTTGTCGATGAACGAGGTATAGTCACGTTCACCGACTAGTAAGTAGGAAGAACGCTGTTGCGAGTGGGATAATTTTGTATTTTAAAAGTTGAGGGGTGATTGTCCCTATTGCTCCACGAGGCAAAGCAACCCGATTGGCCAATTTGCTGGTTTATGTACTACATTTTACATTCATGTGGGTGTGGGGGTACGTATTATTCATACAAATTTTTTTCATCATAACTTATTCTCGAAACTTCAAAAAGAATTGTGTTGTCATTTTCTACTATAAACCATAGGTAATGACATCCCTTGTTTAATGTTGCAGCACAACTGAAGAAGTGTGGGATGCCAATCTCAAGAATATCATAGTTCCGCAACTCAATCCTCCACATTTGAAACTACAAGTAAAGGACAAGTACACGCCGATAATGGTACACCAGATAGTCATCCAAGTATGAAATGAAACAAGTTACCTAAGGGATAACAGCGCAAAATTTTTGAGAAGTTCTTATTCACAAAATAAATTGCGACCTCGATTTACAAATCAAATTTACAAATCAAAAGTTTAGGTGAAGCATTTCAACAAGGTAGGAGGGGAAACGTAAAAGACCCACGCCCATCCCCCCTATCTCAACGATTTCCTAACCTGTCCGTCGACAAATAATAAAACAGGGATTCTGAAACGGAGGATCGTATTTATGACTTTCAGGGCTTTCTCCCTCGAGGTTAATTTGCGGTTCATAACCTGACGAGTAACCCTTTCCGTCGGCACCCTTCGGCCGACCCCACTTTTATTTTTCCCTGCAGACGATAGAAAATGGTTATTCCGGGAAAAAATAACATTTCAAAATGAGTACATGCGCTGCACAACGCGTAGACTAGTAACTACCATCGCAACGGTACAGAAAAGGAACAATTCCACTGAGAATCTGGAAGCGTGTTATATATATTAAAATAAAATTCAGAGCTCTCATAAAACAAATCAACTGTTGGCATAAATACACATCACAATTAATGTCTGAATTCATAAGTCAACTCCGATGGAAAGGGTAAATCCACTGACCTTAAAAGATATTTTATCCCTGATAATATACAAAAGGGACTCTCTAGCTTCAATACGTACTCTGCCGTGGTGAGGAGAAACGCCGTATGAGCGTTCGAGAGTTGCCTGATTTCTTCGGATAAAACATGTATTTTTGAGGAAAATTGTGCATATTTCCCCTTGAAATTTTTAGATCTCGCAGAAAAATTGGTGAAGAAAATTTTCAAAAAAATTTGAAGAAAAATAATCACAATTTCCCAAGTAAATTCGTGATTGGGGCAAGGACTGAAGGCTCATACGGCGTTCTTCCTTAACACGGCAGTACTGTTGCAGAAACACGGCTCCGACTTTAAGTAGGAGAAAACACAGCAACCAGCTGAACAGTCTTTGGAATTTTCTTTTCACACAAGTTTCCTTGCGAAAAGAATGATTGCGGCAAATGGAGTTCTGGAAACTCCACCTATTGAAAGCTTTTGCTGTTCAATGGCATTGAAAATTTGTATGAAAGGGAGCATAGGAGGCTCCCGGTCAAACTGTTTGTATCATTATTTTGTTGAATTTACAAAATAAAACACTATGCAGTACAAATGTTTTGTACCGTTCATTCGCAAGATTTTTAACTGTTTCTGTTTATTATGTTGACAGCAACTCCTCTCTCAGGTTACGACATGATGGCGCTGAAAAGGGCTTCGATTGAACAAGAATACTTTATGCTTGCAGAAGACACTGCCGCTTAAGCTGCCACGCGTAGTGAAAACTCAAATTTGGAGGTAAAAGAAACCAGCGAGATAATCTTGAGGAGAAGCTTTAGAGTTAAGTTCGAATAAAGATGGTAAAAGTAACCAGCGAGATAATCTTGAGGTGAACCTTTAGCGTTAAGTTCGAATAAAGATGCCACGTTGCGCTGCTGAAATCTTTCGCTCCGAAATCAGTTATTAAATGATACACTGTAATAATGATAATAATAATAAAAACTGAACTATATTCATATGGAAACTGGATCAAGTATATTCTAAGTCTTGGAGTGCAAGTGGCTGTAAAGTTGCTGTCAGACAGTTTCAATCAAATATGATGAAACACAACAGAGATTGGTGGTTTTTCATCACCAATCTCAGTCATGTATCAAAATGACTTTTACTTCATATGATTAAAACTTCACTATCTGACGGCGATTTTACACGAACTCCGAAGTTAAGAAAACAATTTGAACCCAGTTCCCATATTTACTTAGTTTGGTGTATTTATTTCTTTAACAGTAGGATACAAGAGGAGGAGCGGGGTAGACCACGGCTTACTACCCTCCTACATTAAAATGAAACAATATACACTAGAAAAAAACACATTGGATCTAGAGTTCAGACTCTTGAAAACATTGACAAGAAAAAATACTCTTGATTCAATCAGATTTAAGCTTAAATAAAAAGGAAATCCGCTCAAATTAAGAGGCTTGGTTCTTGATTTAAGCAAAAATCCGATTGAATCTAGAGTATTTTTTCTTGTCGATGTTTTTAAAAGTCTGGACTCTAGATCCAATGAGTGCTTTTTTCCAGTGTACTATCCAATATTATTGTTTCCAGCTATAGTTTTCAGGTTCTCTGCCTTATTTTTCGGATACATCGGGGTGGGGGGGGGTGGGGAAGGAGTCGGCCAAAACGGCTTACGTAACACTTGAACGGCCCCAAAGTTAAAGAAACTCCCGAGGGAAGGGAAGATGGTGGCCAGAAACGGACCTCGGTGGGGGGGGGGGCGAGGGGAGACTCCCTATGGCGAGAAGCACGAAAAGTGCCATTCAAGAGAGTGGACGGTCTGCGCAGACAATAAATAACCGAGCAGTTGAATTGATCGGAGTTAAAATCGAAAAAGACCACCACATATAGAACCCTAGGATATAGGCATTCTGCGGGGCCGCAGGGCTCATCGGAAATTCGACTTGGTAGGTTTCATCATCGACGGATTTAGTTCCGCGAGGGGGTGGAAGCCGCCCCCGAGCATGATACCGCTGATTACGCGTCGACCCCAACCCGCGCCGGACTGTCAATTATATCGTCGTACCCTGGAAGAAGCAGCGTAACTACACACTAGGGTTGCAAAACTTACTTTAATTATGTAGTGTTTCAAAAAAAATCGAAAGGCTATTCCTATTTTGAGGAATGGGAAGAGTGCCGAAAAAGCAACTTAGACACTGCAACCGCTGAGGGTTAAAAACCTGGATGATTTGAAAAATTGCTTTGCTGCTTAGAGGCTACTTCAGGCTCGTTTATCCTCATTCCATCAAAAAAATTGACGAGTAATGCTATTCGCCCACTTATATTATAATAATCGGTTCGTAGCGTTCATTGACAGCTGAGAAAAAACAAGAACGCAAGTGCAATTTCCTAACATGGCTTAAAATATAGCATAAAACCCATAGTATGTGTGCATAGCTTAAAACGAGCGTACTGTAGAAATACTGAAATCAAGAGATGCAAAAACGAAAGACCGAGGTTGCGAAAAACTTCTATTTTTTCCCAGTGCCCCCTCAATGGAACTGAACAACGAGGAGAAGAACCTTGAAGTTGAAACATGGTTGCTAAGAAAGCCAAACGAATCGTGGAGTCAGTTAACGTGGCGTGCACATTTTCTTGAAGATAGAAAACAGTGTTTTGGAGAAGTTGAGTGGGAGGAGGGGGTGGAAACCGCGAGGGGTTGGGAGTCCTTGGGTGAAATCGGTCCGTGTTTTATTGGTCGCACGAGCGGAGGGAAGATGAAGCCATGTGTCTCGAACGACTTCCAGACTTCAGCTCGCGTGATCCCGTAATTAAGCTCCGCAAGTTGAATACAATCCTGCATGAAATCCAGAGCTTTCCGCTCGATAGGACAAACTGCTTCCACTCCATAACATAAGAAGCTTGGCTGATGATGATGGGATTTTAAGTTTTGGGCAGCTTGAGGTGTTCAGGTGCCTGGAGGCTGATCGTAGAAATTGATAAACGAAGAAGATAAAATGGATATGGAGGGATTATTTTGATGGAAGCGGGTGATGGCAAAGGACAGGGTAAGTTAAGTAGGCAATTGACTAACTAACATCAACCTGCATTGAACACCCCATACCTAGTACATCATTTTCTTCTAAAATCTACGGGAACCACCCAGGCTGGAAAAAGACACATTGGATCTTGAGTCCAGACTCCAGAAAACATCGACAAGAAAAAGTACTCTTGATTCAATCAGAATCTAGCTTAAATCAAGAACCAAGCCTCTCAATTTGAGCGGATTTCCTTTTGATTTATGCAAAATTCCGATTGAATCAAGAGTACTTTTTCTTGTCAATGTTTTTAAGAGTCTGGACTCTAGATCCAATGTGTTTTTTTTCCTTTGCATTTTAAAAAATAGGATTCCTCCAGACTCTCTAGGTGTTCTCTGTCTATGGCTTTGTCTATCAATTTCAACAATCAGCCCGCAGGACTACTCACCCTCAGTCTTTTCGCCTAAGGGACTATTCACCCACACATTATCACCAAAACTGTATGTTTATTATGCATAGTTAGTTAGAAGGTTGTTTTATTTATACTTATTAGTTGCACTTATTAGCTGTATGTATACTTATTGTGCATGTGCAAGCAGGACTACTCACCCTCAGTCTTTTCGCTTAAGGGACTATTCACCCACACATTATCACCAAAGCTGTATGTTTATTATAAATAGTTAGTTAGATGGCTGTTTTATTTATACTTATTAGTTGCACTCATTAGCTGTTATGCACTTATTGTGCATGTGCAAGCAGGACTACTCACCCTCAGTCTTTTCGCCTAAGGGACTATTCACCCACACATTATCACCAAAGCTGTATGTTTATTATAAATGCAAGCAGTCAAGCACGTCAGCGCACCGCTTTCGCAGGGGTATAAGACACAAAATCAATGAGGTTCTCACACTTCAAATTCGTTTTTCTCAGGATCACGAAGAATGCACCCTCGTCGACTTTCGGTTTCAATAGTTTAATACGACTGCCTGTCCATAAATTTTGCGTAGTTCTGAATTTTAGCTCTCTTTTCAACAGCCATATAAAAATATTCAAATTTTCATCGAAATATAGCTAAAAATTCACAGTTTGGTTCTACAATTTTGAAAAAATTCGCGGACCCTCACTTAACTGGGTGGTATTCCATACCCCCCGGTGAGTGCCCCCCCCCCCTTTCAAGAATTCCTAGCTGCGCCACTGGGCTGCTTGGTTAATCAAAAACCACAAATGGAGAGCCCGGATCAAAAGGGTTGAAACGCGAAGGGTGCAAGTACAATAGGGATCCATTTCATTCGTGGTCTTGATTTTAATTAGCATACCGAACACACATGCCCGGCTCAACCTTGCCCCCTTCAGCAAGGCACGGGAGTGATGAAAATGCGAGGAAATGCAATTACAGTAAGAGCCCGGTATAAAAAGAGACATTCATTGTTTCCCGATTACAGACTTTAATTAACCCGCATTTGGAACGACTGAATAGTCCAATGGATTAAACGATACTGCTTCAAAAGAATAAATAAATAAATAAAAACCGAAGTAGTAAAATGAAAGAAAGCTGTACCGGAAAAAAAGCGGATCAAATTTTGCCAGCTGCTGCAAAGGCGTTTTATACAGGGTGATCAAAAAGTTCCGAACAACCAGTACCAGAGAGTTATAATCAACTGTTTGCGAGGCAGTAGGATTAGAGAAACGGCCCGAAGTCTAACGAGGATTTATTACGTGGAGTATTTAATTAATGTAGAAAACTATAGGTGGCGAGGCGTATCTATATGACCGATAATTTCCCATTTGAAGCTGCGGCGTAGAGTCGATAATTTAATATGTTCATCGCAAACACCCTATTTTTGATTCTGTTCCATAGGTTTAAGTGACGGAGAAATCGGTGCATCGCATAGCACACCACGCCATTGAAAACTACTGGATTAAAAATTACTCCATCAGTTAAATTGGTGGTGAATGACAAGGTGGATCGAGTCAAAGAAAAAGGTTGGCCTTGATACATTTGACTAAAACTGCAAATTTTGATGTTTATTTCATCACATTTTAAATTTCAAGGGGTGCTTTAAGAAGGAATTCATTGGTAAAAAAAACCTCTTGATTCAAGAGCGCAGTTTCTTGTCACCGGATTTAAGAGTCTGGACTCTTGTTTCAATGCAAAATCCGCTTGGAACAAGAGTTCCAGACTCTTCAATCCGGCGACAAGAAACTGCACTCTTGAGTCAATGCACCGCGGCATTGGTCAAAGAGATGTTTTTTACCAGTGTAAATTTAACGAGGAACCCAATGGTACCACTTTTAGAACCTTACATTTTGTATAAAAGGAGTTATAAGGGTTTAAAGTTTCCAAATTTTGTCCGTTCTCCTATACTGACTTGATCCACTGTGCAAAAAAAGCATTTCTTGGTTGCGGTGTTTTAGAATCTCCCATAATGTTCTATCCTTTAAAATTAAAGCAATTGTAGAACATTAGTTGAAACTTTTACCGAATTTTCTTTGTGGTTATACCATGCTGAAAAAGAAGAATTTCAGAAAATTGACTATACAGTTTCCTCTCTAAAATATAAATTAGCGATGAAGATTTTGAGACACCGCAGGCACAATCTGCACCCATCGCCTTCACTACGTCGGTACTCATAAAAATATATCGTTGAATTTTAAAAAGACTTATTAGTCCAAGTGTGTTTCTTCTGGTACAATTAATATTCTCGTTCGTGGAAATAACCAAGAAATAAAAGAAGTTGGAAGATACACTTCAAAATCAATTTAAATTTTTTACTAAGAAAAACACCTTCTAAGCTGCAGTTACTTACAAAAACCAATATGGTTTACTGGTCGCTCAAATATTTCAGCTATTCTTTTGTTTCAGGCTCTGAATCAAAAAGTTACACGGGTCTGGAGAAGAAAATAGAAGAAGAGAAGCACACTCATGGTGTAATCAATAAGTGAGCCTCGTCACGCCAGCCGTGAAGGGGAAGCAGGCTGGCCCTTGTTCGCCGAAATGACTAACATGCCACGCTACCTGTCGCAGGAACGGAGGAACTACGATGAATTCACCCCAGCGCTTGCAGTGACAGCATTCAAATGTAAGGAAGTAATAAAACTATAGAACGCTATAGCTCCAAATGTCATTACAGAATTAGTTTTGGTTGAGTAGGGGGAAAAAAACTGTCTGGTTTATTAACGATACCGTACTATTAGAACTAATTTCTTTTGAAGGTTCGGCCAAAATGACTTATGCAGGTCTCTTGATATTAAGAGAAAACGCGATGGGTACAAATTGTGACTCATTTCAGACATACTGTAAAAGCCAACGTGACATTAGTTTCCCTGGATGGATAGCAGCTTTTAGGGGTGATCCAGAAATATGTGTTCGATTTTCGTCTTGCAAAATGCTGTTCATTAGAAGGCACCCAAACGGACCTACCTATAGTCGTAACTATGATCTTCAAGACCTTTCGATCGACTATGGTCGGATCAGGCTCGGTTTCAAAGGGTTTAAACTCAAATTTCAGTTATACGAGAAACGAAAACATTTTCCTCCTTCTTCACGCCAACAGGCCAGTCGACCATCTCACCTCCCTTCTACTGCTCAGAGCAGTCCAATGGAAAGTACAGTTCAGAGGAGAACGTTTAGAACATCTTTTTTTTTTTTTTTTTTTACGTGGAGATATCAGGAGAAAACCCACCTGGGTCTCATTGATTTACCACTCTCCTTTTAAAAGTTACCGTGTAAACCATCAGACGTTGCCCAAAACCTCCATTAAAGAGGAATTTGTAGGGAAACTTGTGCAAATTTTTCTCCAAATTTTTCAGAGAAGTGATTTTCAATTAAACCTACACAGTAAAACGATAAAAATATAAATAAATCGGACACGCGTTTTGAAGATAAAGATGCATTGTCTTCGATGCATTTCCGGTGTAAATCTCATCTCGGGCAAGAAACTTCTTTTTCACATTTAATCACTTCATGAGCACGCGAGATGAAGTTTTCTAATTATTGAACATGCTGGAGTATCTGAAAATTTTAAGGAAAAAGAATTATCAATTTTCTCGAAAATGAATGTTTCAATTGAGGGAAATTTGGCAAATCAGATTTCACGCTGCGTCCTCAGTGCGGCAGAGTGCCTGTGCCGTTTTTCTCTAGAAAGGACTTAACTACAATCCGATGTTGCCGAATTCTCCCTCGCAAATTGCATTGTTACCTGAGAATCCTGAGCATTTCTGATTGAAAATTTCACAGATTTTTCTTCTGATCTCGCTCAGAGATCAGGAAAATTTTTGACAAAATTGCTCACATGCAATTTTTGTGAGAAATTAAACTGATGGCCGATGGGGTCAATTTTGCTATTTTAGAATGAAGTTCCTTCGCCCGGGAGACGACGGTTAGCCAGACTCTGCTCGCACGGTGATTTAAGTATCCGTCCGTTCTAATTTAGCGATTTGCACCTGAATGACGTCATCTGAGACTGAGTAAATCCATGTTCCATGTTCGCCCTCCCCCACCTAAAGAAGGGGGCGCTCGAATACGTTTCATAAATCGTGAACGCGAATGTACTCGGATATACGTAGAGATATATCTGGCTGCATTAGAGCCACGGCCGATACCGTCTTCACGATAACTTAACAGCTTAATGTTTTCGCGATCCGACAAGCACAATACATTAACCCGTTGTCAAGCTGCTCTCGGCATTTCTAATTTATGTGAAATACAAGCTACGTCGTCTCACCTTTTCCAAACCAACCTCTTCATCCCCCCTCGTTCGTTGTCTGCTCCCCGCCCCTCAGTTTCCCCGTTGCCTTCTTTCCAGCGCATGTGAGTTCGCGTCATGTTTGTTCGGCAGACCATCCTTTTTTTTTGCGCCAAACTTATATAAATTACACTGGTTCAGGTCCTATTATATAACAGTAGTATATCTTATTTGAAATTTTTCGGATATTTTATTTACTGAGTTTCCCGACGGTTTTGTCGGGATCAACTTATCTGAGGATTGTTAATTGAAGAGCTTTCCGGAAAAAGGGCACATAGCAAAAAATCGTGTTTGAAAAAAATGCATTTGAAGGTTCTATCATTAATCTATGCCCACTGACTGTGACTTACGTTCTAGATCGGGCGTCCAAGCTGCGATGAAAGTTACCATCAAGTGGCCAAAAAGTAATGATGGAAACTTAAAATGCATTTTTTTCACACGCGATTTTTTGCTATGTGCCCTTTTTGCGGAAAGCTCCTCAATTTCAATCGCATCGCTTTCGCTTACCTTCGTGCGAAAAGTTTTCCCCAATCAGGATACCCAACCGGCATAAAGGAATAGGCCTTTCATTGAGATTTTCCATATAAGAAACGTTGATTGGGCGTGCAGGATAGCGATCAGTGACGGTTGGATGTCGCAGAGCGCACAGAAGCGCTATGAGATCGACATGTTAGTTAGTTAGTTGTTAGTTAGAAACGTTGATTGATCTCGCTTCAATACTTTCTGGAAAACTTTACATTAGGGGTAAAACCATAACTACCATCGCAGGAGAACTGAAATGATGACGTTTGAATGATAAAGCTGATGAAATAGTATCCGTTCATCATCGTGGTGGAATTAGGTCAAAGGGTCGTAAATGATCCAGTAGTGATACATACGTCTCAAAAAATTATTGTTGCGCGAAATTTTCAGCCTAATTTTAACCTAAGTCAGTCCGTTAATATGATACGAAATAGTGGATGTAAAATAATACTCAAATAAATAAAAAAATTTAAGGTGCTACTGAGACAGGAAGGTTCAACATTTTTTAATATGCATTGATCTTATATTTTTTGCTCTACCTCAGTATTTTAAAAGGAGAAAACCATTATTTGGCTCTGCAAAACTTTGAGCTTCTTTCTTGCGAAGACTTAGATTTTCTTGTGTTAGACTTAGGAACTAATTACATCTTACGGTGATTTTGATGAAACTCCTTTTAGAAAACAGATGCAATTTTGGCGCCTGTATGGATTTTAGCGTTTCGCTACATTTCATCATTATTTGAGACAATAATCTAAAATGTTTGTGTTTCAGATTCACGATGGCGGAACTAATTGGTGTGATTTCAGCTTTCATCCTTACAAGACATTAAAATATTAGGCACGGTTGCATCCAATTAAGGAGTAATCTGGAATAGCTTTTAAGTTAGTAATATGTTTATTACTATTACTAGTAATATGTAACAACAATATAGCAATGAACGATGAGAGATATTAAAATTAATGGCATTTAAAGTGTAAATTACCCATTCACAAGTCTATTATTTCAATAAAATGATATGGTCCTGAATAAATCTCGGTTTTACGTGTCTTCTAATTTCAACCTACCTGATGAGCTTGTCTTGGCTTTCTTGAAAATTTCCGAAAATGATGCTGGAACTCGTAATAATAATGTAAAATATATTTGCAATTCGAAGTTCAACAATTGTTTCCACGGATCTCAGTTGAAGTATTTCTCGAGGGTGATAATACTAAGTTCCTCGCACTGCGGGAAAATATCTATTTGAATAAAGAGGAACCTTTTCTGAATATCTCCCGCATGGAGTTCCCAATCATTCTAAGGAAATGAATTAATTATACGAGAAACTTGAATACTTCTACTTGTGTATTTCTCCTCGAATTAATTGAAGCTATTCTTAAATGTTCGTCATTCGTTAGTGGAATCCATACAATGTCAGTTCCCGCTCTAACAGAAAATTTTCACTGCGCGCGATGTATCCAGAACAAGAAAAGCATTAAAATATCTTTCGAAAACATAATATTTTAAAAATAAGCTAAAATTAATATGGAAAATGTCCGAATTCGTGCACTGAAGAAAAACAGTTCTGTTCACAGAGCTCCTGCACTTTTTTTGTAACAGTCACAGAAGCTTCCGTTATGAAGACAGAATACTCTGTTCCCACGACAGAGGTTCCGTTCTCACAACAGAAAAATTTTGTAAAAATGTTTTAAAAATAAGCTAAAATTAATATGGAAAATGTCTGAATTCTTTCGTGCGCTGAAAAAAACAGTTCTGTTCACAGAGCTCCTGCACTTTTTTGTAACAGTCACAGAAGCTTCCGTTATGAAGACAGAATACTCTGTTCCCACGACAGAAGTCCCGTTCTCACAACAGAAAAATTCTGAAAGTGTAACAAAAAAACTGCAGGATCCCTGTGAACAGAAAGTTCTGTCGTCAGCACCAGCTTTTTTTTTCTGTGTGGGGGTATGATCAACGGAAGATCCTCATTAATTGAATGGAATCAATTTTCCCGTGGCAGTTATTCACTCACAATTTGGAAGCTCCCTCAATGCGAATCGTCGTTCAGATATACTTCTCAAAATTATTAATAGAATCGAAAAAGCCTTCCTAATGTAATGCGACTGATGCACTTGGCTCCTTCAATGGGTCACAAAACCATTATTTATTTATATACAAGGGTAATCCCTAAAGTCCTGCGCGTTGTGCTCTCATTTCAGAATTATTAGAGATAGGGAAAATCCGATTGGATGCGCATATGAGGCATACTTTCAGCTTTAATTTAAGCCCAAGTTTTTCAAATTTCGGATGAACAGGACGCTCAGGAGGTCGTTTTTCCCGCACCCAAGTCGCTGCGTTTCCCGCCACCTCCAGGCGCACAATGTCCGTGCCAAGGGCAAGGGTGGTATCACGATAACTGGAATAGTTTTGTCGTCGCAACAGACGACACATTTTTCGGTCATGTTTTTAGTAGTAATGATAATCACTCGAATTATTTCGCATTAATCTTCAAAGGGTTACGTAATATAATCCTAAACTACGTTTTCTAATGATTTATTGCTCTACTTCTCAATTAATATTCTGTCAATTCCGAAAATGTGCTGTCTGTTACGCGGTAAAAAGTCAGCGTAACGGACGGCACATTTTCGGTCATTTATAGATTGAAATTGAAAAGTAGAGCAATAAATCGTTGAAAAATGTTATAACACGTAATCCTGCACTGGTAAAAAAAAACCTCTTGGACCAATGCCGCATTGCATTGACTTAAGAGTGCAGTTTCTTGTCGCCGGATTTAAGAGTTCTGAACTCTTGTTTCAAGCGGATTTTGCATTGAAACAAGAGTCCAGACTCTTAAATCCGGCGACAAGAAACTGCACTCTTAAACCAAGAGGTTTTTTTTTTACCAGGGTGTGTAGATTAATCCAAAAAATGTCAAGTGATTATCATTACTACTAAAAATATGAACGAAAAATGTGTTATCTGTTACGGCAACAAGATTATTCCAGTTATCGTGGAGCCACGAGCCACCCACAAGATGTCCGGACGATTGAGGCCAATCTGATCCGATCGCATTTAAATCCTCATCAATGTTTTTTACCAACTATTGATATGCTTAGCATGCTGTTTTTTTAAGATCAACAATGAACCGGTCAAGTCTATTCGACCCAAATCGACGCAGAAGTACAGGGCTATGGCCCTAAATCGATTGGATTCACGGAATCGACTGAGAGCCATTTCGACGGGTCCAGGCCCATGTTTCCGTTGATTTCGAATGAAGATGCTGATCGATTTGAATTGCATTTCAACTGATAATGTATACATCTACTGTTCCCGCCATTGCGGACGCACAATTAAGGTCGTTCTAACAGATCTAAAGCAGATAAAAAAGTCCATGAGGGCCCCTCATGGACCCTTTCTTCTCAGGGGGCCGGAATCCTGCAGCACCGTGGCTGCAGACCGTTACGGGAGTCAGTCCGAAACCATGACCAATTTAAACGGCGCGAAGTCAGGTTTAGGGTCGCGGCCAAGTTGCGGGGAAAATAGAGGCACTTGACCGGGGCAGAGACCAGGAGGAACCGCACAGCCGCGGCGGCCGACGAACTACGAGTATAATTGAAGCCATCAAAATCGGTTGTTTGTTTAGTTTTAATTTCAAGAGATCGTAAAGCCGGCGACGGGGGTATAAAATCTATTTAATATCTCGCAAGGTCGCGGATTTATCACCACCGGGAACAGCTGATTTTAATGGGGCCCGTGACGTCACGGCGGCGCATGTGCTTACCGGCGCGGGCGAACATGACCGCGTAACCGCCGAGCGTTTAACGTTCACTCTCCGCTCAGCGCGCTCGTTGCCAACTGGTTCGTTGCTCGTCCACGGAAAATTGGAGTTCACCCGGAAGCAGCGGAACTGCATCTCACGTTGGATAACTTTCGGCAACACGGATCCGCACTGGAAAAAAAAAAAAAAAAAAAACATTGGATCTAGAGTCCAGACTCTTGAAAACATTGACAAGAAATAGGGCTCTTGATTCAAGCAGATTTAAGCTTAAATCAAAAGGAAATCCGCTCAAATGAAGAGGCTTGGTTCTTCATTTAAGCTTGAATCTAATTGAATTAAGAGTATTTTTTCTTGTCGATGTTTTTAAGAGTCTGGGCTCTAGATCCAATGTGTCTATTTTTTTTTTCTTTTTTCTTTTTTTTCAGTGCGTCTGAAATCCTTCGCAGAACATCAGATGATGAAAGTTGAGGAGCTTTCCAGCGAAAGGCAATAGAGAAAACAAGAGTAGCTATTTGAATTACAGGCCGAGTGACACCCCCTGCTGTTAAGAGTCATCTCTGATTGGCTGATTCGCCTGGTGTCCACTTTCTGGGGCCTTATGAAGTATGACTTCGTAGGACATGAGATGATGGGAATTGAGGAGCTTTCCAGCAAAAGGCAGTAGAGAAAACAAGAGTAGCTATTTGAATTACAGGCCGAGTGACACCCCCTGCTGTTAAGAGTCATCTCTGATTGGCTGATTCGCCTGGTGTCCACTTTCTGGGGCCTTATGAAGTATGACTTCGTAGGACATGAGATGATGGGAATTGAGGAGCTTTTCAGCAAAAGGCAGTAGAGAAAACAAGAGTAGCTATTTGAATTACAGGCCGAGTGACACCCCCTGCTGTTAAGAGTCATCTCTGATTGGCTGATTCGCCTGGTGTCCGCTTTCTGGGGTCTCATGAAGTATAACTTCGTAGGACATGAGATGATGGGAATTGAGGAGCTTTCCAGCAAAAGGCAATAGAGAAAACATGAGTAGCTATTTGAATTACAGGCCGAGTGACACCCCCTGCTGTTAAGAGTCATCTCTGATTGGCTGATTCGCCTGGTGTCCACTTTCTGGGGCCTTATGAAGTATGACTTCGCAGGACATGAGATGATGAACATTGATGAGCTTTCCAGCAAAAGGCAATAGAGAAAACAAGAGTAGCTATTTGATTACAGACCGAGTGACAACCCCAGCTATTAGGAGTCATCTCTGATTGGCTGATTCGCATGGTGTCCACTTTCTGGGGCCTTATGAAGTATGACTTCGTAGGACACGAGATGATGGGAATTGAGGAGCTTTCCAGCAAAAGGCAATAGAGAAAACAAGAGTGGCTATTGGAATTAGAGGCTGAGTGACACCCCCTGCATTACTAGTCAACTCTGATTGGCTGATTCGCCTGGTGTCCACTTTCTGGGGCCTTATGGAGTATGACAAGGGGTTCAATCTTCATCGGGCTCCTCTACCGTGCCAAGGAAGAACGCCGTATGCACCTTCAGCCGTTGCTACGTTTCCTGCAATAAAACCTTAATTTACTGAGAAAATCGTGAATTTGTCTTCTTCTATTTTTTCAAACAATTTTGTTTGCAACTTCGTCTGACATGTCTAAAAATTTCAAGGAAAAATACGCATAATCGTTCTCAAAAATACAAGTTTCATACGGGACAATTTGGCAACTCTCGAATGTTCATACGACGTTCTTCCTTACCACGGCAGTACTGGTAACCCGAATCCGGCTCGTGACCTATTTAGCCTACTGGCTAATAATTCTCGCCTATTCACCAACCCCTCGAACAAACCTGAAACCATGGCAATAATTTATTTACAAGCCTTTACCTTGTTAGATAGGCACATGGGAGGTGTCCCCCAACCAACAGTGTTCGCATATAGGTCATGGAACCCTTGGATGAAGCCTGGGACCTGCCAGGGCCTTTCATCCTAGTTACCCCTGATCATCCACCACGATTGGGTACCCCAATTGCCATCTTGAGCTGCGGGGCGATTATTGAAATGTCATCGACTCTATGTCGCCGCTTACGACAAGACATAGCCCTATC